GTGAAGACTATGAGTTTTTGTGCTCGACAAACCAAAGCTTCCACTGTAGCCTTATATAGCAAGTTACATTTTGCCTCCAGTTATTTTTAGTTGTTCAAAAGAACCTCTTATGTTTTATTTCATAAAGCCACTGCTTTTAGCACAAACATTTTTGTTTACTTTGAAATATAGCTAAAATTAAGCTAGCTGGAGGAAATCGCCTAATATTTACCTGAACTCTTTTTAGAAATTTGGCCTAGGCCATGTTATGGTGCATAGTTCAACTCACGGGTGTCAATTCCAGTTCCTGGAGGGCCGCAGCTCTGCATAGTTTAGTTTCAACCCTAATTAAACACACCTGATGAAACTAATTGGGTCCTTCAGACTTGTTTGAAACCTAAAGGTAGGTTTGTTAATCAGGTTTGGAACTAAACTGTGCAGAGTTGCAGCCGTCCAGGAACTGGAATTGACAATGACAACTGTGGTTTAACTAATAATGTGTGTGTGAGAGAGAGAGAGTTACAATGAGAGTTACTAAAACATACTCAAATAATCTTCTACTTCGAACACTAACAGTGTAAAAAATAATTTAAAGGATACTGTGTTAACGTACATCTCCAATGAGCATGAAAAGCCGTGCGTGAGACAATGATTTGTTTTATACAGTATACCATCTTTAACCATCCATGTGGTCAACTGTGAAAATTGTGTTTCAAGTCACATTATAGCTGTTAGAAATGCATCGATAAAACATGCTACAAATGCTGTGAACTATGAACTGAATTGGTGAAGTTAAATAACTTAGGCTTATTTTTCGGGTGAGGCTAAATCATAACCTAATGATGCATTGAAGCCACCAAGCATGTACATTAGGAAGGCTCTATAGCATTTTAATCACATAATTTCCATGTTAAATATGCAGCGTAACCAAAACCACAGTGGCTGCTATTTTAATAACTACATTTGTTACTAAACAGACTATAAAGATGATGATTAAGCAACATTGAAACCATATTAAAGAACCTGTTCCCATGTAAGCTGTAAATATGACTAGTAAAACTTTGTTTGGCACATTCAATCAGTCTATACACTTCTGTTTCTGTATGTCTTTGCGTCTCCTTCTCTTCACGTCTAGTCTGATGTTTCACAGCAGAGCAGTACGTCTGTCACTAAACAAAGATTTGACAGTCCAAGGCAGAATGTGATACAAAAATAAAATGCAGAAACTACAAATGTGGTTTTAGAAATTACCCCGTTACTGAGCAAAAAAAAAAACAAAAAAAAAACAGAAATGATAAATTCTTCACATTTTGTCATGGAGTGATTCTTTTATAAGATATTACAAAGGGCTTTGTTGCATAATTCAGGCAACATCTTATTAGTAACAAGGTCTTCAGAGTTTTTAAAACTATAAAGGAATCTTCAGATCTATTTGAGCACATTAAACATGTTGCAGTTGAGCAGATGTTGCATTGTGATTGCAGCATTGTGCAGTGCTCACGGCTTCAGTTTACATATCAGGCTCGCAGCGTCTTTGATGTTTTTGTAATTGTTGACCTACAAAAAAGCAAAGGCTTCATGGTAAGCCTGAAAGGAAGGCAAATATCAGTGCAGTCTTTGTTGTTGATGCTCTTGTCTTAAGAAATTCCATTCTGAGCAACAAATTCCTGCTCGAGACTCATGTATTGTTTATTTGTATCATTAATAAGACCTCATTATAAGGATTTCTCTCTAATTCTTTCCTTTTTTCCTGGTGGTCATACAGTTGAAGTTTTTTTTAGAACTTGAACTTTTAGTTTCTGAAGAGTTAAAAAGAGGCAACAACGAAGAAATAAAGGAAGCGTTTTCCCCCTTTTAAAAGTTGATCAATTGTTTTTTTAACTTTCTGTTCATTAAAGAATTCTGAAAATGTGTCCTTTTTGTGTGGAAAATATGCCTTGTTCTTTTCTTGAGCACCAAATCAATGTTCATTTCTGAAGGATTATATAAGGGCTGAAATACTATTCATTCATATATTATATTATTATTTTATATACTCTAATATTTTGCAGTATTAAAGTCAAATATATGTAGGTTATATATATATATATATATATATATATATATATATATATATATATATATATATAGCTATTATATATATTATATAAGCTTTATATAAAACCATATTAAACAAGCGATTTTGAATGTTTCAAATATTACTCACAAAAATCCTTTAAAATATCTGTAAATAATTTATGTCCCACTATCATTTAATGTAACATATTTGTTTTACTCATTGTATTTATTCTGATTTTACTTACTTTTTAAAAAAATGAATCAAATAATAATCATAATGTATTTTATTAACACTTTAACTGCCACACCAAGAAAAGAGCAATACAAAAAAATGTTTAGATTGCATTTCTTAACTCCTAAAATCACTAGTTAACACAATCAATCCATTTTTATTCAACACATCCCTTAAAAATCAACCTCTACCAATTGGTTGATTTGTCAATTTAAGGTAAAAGTACCGAAATGAATATATATGCTATGAAAATTAGAAAATATGAAGTGTAAGACCAATTTACTTAAAAACATAATTAAAATAAAACATTTTTAAACACTAAATCAGCTTTATTTATTAGGGTATATCATAAAATATTTTAAATTCTTATTTAACAGCTATTTAAAAGTTTTCTTGTTTTGTTTTTTACAATAAAGCCAAAATTAAGTGAATAGGTGCAACAGGATTTTGTTTGCTTGATTATTTTACAAAACCAACAATGGTGTGCAGTGTGAGTCATTAATAAAAACAGTCATTTAAACAAATTAAAACATTGAAACACATTTCAGTATTATCTTTTAGTGCAAAAGCACGATTGCTTTCTGAAGATGAAACTCCTGTTTATTGTGTTGTATCAACCAATCAATCAAACTTCAAAAACACCCAAAGTGGGGGTGTGAGTGTGCGTGAGAGAGAGAGAGAGAGAGAGAGAGAATGTATGTATGTATGTATGTGAGTGAACTTGCAAATTTATCTCATCAGTGAAGATATTTTCTTGTAAAAGGGCCTGACTAATGTGTGTTCTTCTACAATAGAAACTATTGACATCCATCAAATAACTGCAAACAACAAACAAACAAAAAACAAATATCAATCTCTTACAATTGTACTAATGCTAGTAGACCAGCATTTGCCATTTAAGAGATAATCATGTTCAAATTATGATTTTCACACATTAGTTTTAATAAAACATTATATTTATATATATATATATATATAATCAAGAAATGATCTCAGTATATTCATGAATAAATAACAAGCTGTGTCATATTTATTCTGTGAATGATCAAAAGTGAATATTTCTCAGCAAACAGTCCACTCTGACTGCAGAAATGCAGGAGATGAAATCATTAGTTTTTCTTTTCTAAGTTTAACATAAAGTGATAAATCAACCATTTGGTCGAGAAAGTTTTTTGAAAATTTTATACAAACTTACTAAATATTTCTCATGGCACCGAGTAACATAACTTTGTAAAGTTAGGGCTCTTAGAGGGTAAAATGTCAAAAAAATAAATGCATACCTTGCAAATTTTCACCAAAATCAGTTCACACGTCAGGAGCAATGGGTCAGGAGTGATTTCCCTGTTTTTGACTTCAATGGTAGAAGCAACGTTTTGACGAGTGCTGTTCATTGAGTTACTGACAACTAGTGGATTTTTTTGGTATAACATACTTTAACCAGATGGTAGAGATGGCTCAATCAGGTTTAGTTGAGTTAGGTACTCCTCCCAAAGAGATATAGTCAGTCAAAATATTTTCAACCGTTTGGTCAAGCAGGCAGTTAAAGAGTTGAGTACATGATCATAAAAATAGATCATTTTTTTATTTTATTGTAATTATAAATATGCCTGACAAGATTTTTAAGGTATATAGTGTTACACTGGGGCAGCGCAACACAATCGCCTCACAGCAAGAAGGTTGCTGGTTCGAGCCCTGGCTGGGTCAGTTGGCATTTCTGTGTGAAGCTTTCATGTTCTCCCCATGTTGCCATGATGCAGTGATGGGAAACATCCATACATTCGCTATGTAAAACATATGCTGGATAAGTTGGTGGTTCATTCTGGTGGATCTAAGCCAAAAAGAAATTAATGAATAAATGAATGGTGTTACACTGAATAGTATAGTATAGTATAGTATAGTATCGTATAGTATAGTATAGTATAGTATAGTATAGTATAGTATAGTATAGTATAGTATAGTTTAGTATAGTGTGCTCAGAAAAAAGGGAACTAATTTATCGATAGAAAAAAGGTTAGTTTAGCACCTTAACTGCTGTTACTGCAAATCAGACTTCTTTCAAAAATAATAATATAAATAATATTTGTGTAATCTAGCAGGTTGACATTATGGTCTTTGAGATTTAAACGGAAACACAGAAACTTCATTAAGATTTAGCTTGTTAACAAAGGTTCGGTAGAGGGACTACGCCTCACTTTGCCTCCTTAACCAATCACCAACTCCCTAAACCTTATTTAAGGCAGACCAGTCACCAGCCTCTAGCACTGTTCTTGTTGTCTCTAACCCACCCTTCCTCCCTCTATTTCCTTGTGGCGTGGTCCATGTTGGTGAAAAAAGACTTTAACATGATGTGAATTCTCCACTCACAGCAATACCACACAAACAAAAATCATTTCTGCATAAAAAGACTATTAGTAAAACTATTTGGTTTAGAGAAATACTGTTAGTGGTTTTAACCTGGCAGACATAAGCTGTATTAGGCGAGTGTGTTCAGATTTTTAGAAAAGATAGAGCTCATGATGAGTCTAGACGTCAGCTATTTCATGACTAACGCAAACACAATAGCTTTGTGAAGTAACAAATGTATCCAATAACAGCACCTACGAGAACAGGTTATTGTCGTCACCTTATTCTTCAGCTTCATTTACCATCAATAATTCAAAAACTGACACCTTTGTTGGCAGCAGCCCTGTTTCTGACACTATTTGACTGGCTTCACCTGCCTTTGAAGATCAGCTACGATATAACCGGAGGTGTAAGAGTACTCGGTATTCAGCTTCTTCTTTTTGACAAATATTGATTTCTCTCTGGATATCTAACAATGGCAAAAGAAAAGATGCTTCCAGCCCAAGAGGCTGCCAAAATCTACCACACCAATTATGTGCGAAACTCCAGAGCCATCGGCGTCATGTGGGCAGTTTTCACCTTATTCTTCGCCATCATTACCGTGGTGGTCTTTATTCAGCCGTATTGGATTGGTGACAGTGTTAACACCCCACAGGCTGGATACTTTGGGCTTTTTCGCTACTGTATTGGCAACCCAATCACCTCGGAATTGGTCTGCAAAGGAAGTGTGTTCGATTTTGGCTCAATCCCCTCTGGGGCTTTCAGGACCGCTTTGTTTTTTGTGGGAACTTCAATGCTGCTGATTGTGGGCACCATTGTGTGCTTGGGTCTTTTCTTCTTCTGCAACGCCGCTAGTGTCTACAAGATCTGCGCTTGGATGCAAACATCTTCAGGTAGGCCGCTTTTCAGTGAGCCCTGCAAATAAGTATACATGCTGCTTAAAAGCAGTTAAATTAAAAGGAAGACCAATTGAAATAGTTTTGAAATATTGTTTATTAATATGGCTAGACATCTTTTTTTTGCTTTCCCGCCAAGCCACATGGCATGTCTAAAATGTATTATTGTTTTTTTTTTTATTGAATAAGATATTCACTGAAATATCACAATAACAGAGTTGACGTTTAATTAATATTCTATTGTGCATTCAATTTAATGAGAGAAAAATAATGACGTTCAGAGGCGCATTTAATAATTTGTGGGCCCTAAATAATTCTAGCCTCTGCGCCCAACAGTCCTAAAATCTTAATGTCTACGTTTTATCTAAATGCAATCTCTACATTTTAAAATGATTTGTTTTCTTGAAATTAATTTACAACTAAAAATAATAAATAAATTATTTAGTTTTTTTTTTCTTTACCTCATTTGACTGTTGGGTTGCTCAATGATAGGGAGTCAGGGACAAATTTGTGCAAATGTAAAAATGATGTAGAAATTGTAGCTGTTACACCCTAATCATACAAAATATGATAGAAACTGTGTTAAATAAAATGTATAGGTATATAATACTTCAGGGCATTTACTGAGATTTCCTGGGGCCCTAAGTGTCCCGATGACATCCTTAAGTGGCTCCCAGAGTTTTCCCACCCGAGGAAGTGACATCACTTGTAGAAAATTATTATTTTTTAATATCAGTGACTTGACCGGGTGTTACACCTTTTTTAGAACTGAACGTAGGGACAGATACTATATGTATGAACTGAAATTACAAAGGGCAGCACAGTAGCACAATCGCATCACAGCAAGAAGGTCGCTAGTTTAAGCCCCAGCTGGGTCAGTTGGTGTTTCTGTGTGGAGTTGGTGTGTTCTCCCCATGTTTGCGTGGGTTTCCTCCGGTTTCCCCCACAGTCCAAAGACATGCGCTATAGGTGAATTGGGTAAGCTAAATTGTCTGTGGTGTATGTGTGTGAATAAGTGTGTATGGATGTTTCCCAGTGATGGGTTGCAACTGGAAGGGCATCATCCGCTGTGTTAAACATGTGCTGGATAAGTTGGCAGTTCATTCCGCTGTGGCGACCCAGATTAATAAAGGAAATAATCCGAAAAGAAAATGAATGAATGAAATTACAAGTAATGCAGATAAAATAGATGTTTCATGCAAAAGTTTATTTAACTCATTAGAGTAATAAGGATGAAAATGATTTGATAATTCAAGCTATGATTTAGGAGGCAGTCGAAAATAGATAGCCTATAGTGGGAGTCTTAAAGTTAATGTTTTCAAGAAAAAATGACCCTAAACACACATACTAACATATATTTTAGAGATTACTTGATATAATTTGGGGTGTAAAAATAAAAAAAAAAGTTGAATTCTTTCAATCATTTTCTTTTCGGCTTAGTCCCCTTATTTATCTGGGCGTGCCACAGCGGAATGAACCGCCAACTTATCCAGCAAATATAACGCTGCGAATGCCCTTCTAGCTGCAACCCATCTCAGGGGAAAAAAAAAGTTTATCTAAAAAAAAAAGTTCCATACCTTTTATCTCTGCACTTGATGTTGTAGCTGTGTTGATGGTGATGGGGTGTATGATTTATCCGGACGGATGGGACTCTGCGGAGGTAAAACGGATGTGCGGCGAGCGGACGACCAAGTACAACTTGGGCAACTGCACCATTCGCTGGGCTTACATCCTGGGCATCATCAGCATCCTGGATGCAGGTTTACTAGCGCTGCTGGCCTTCACTCTGGGCAACCGGCAGGACAAACTACTGCCAGATGACTTTGAGGTGGAGGGAGAAAACAACGCATGAGGGAATAAATAGGTACTGATTAGAATTAGCTTATTATAACATTCATAATTTAGAGCAATATGTAACTTGAGATGAGGCCTCACACAGGTGAGTAGGCCTGACAACAGCCTGTAGAAACCGCTCTTTCATCTCTCTGACATTTTAATGAACACTTGCACATGTTTTTGCAGATTTGCACCAGACACATTCTTACAAAAAACATTGTGTATTTATGAAGTGTGCTTCACAATGGTGAGTGGGCTTGACAAACCACTCTTCTTCTTTTTTCTCTCTTTCAAAGAAACACTCCCCCTTTTTACTCTAGCATTTAATTCTTTACTCTAGCATTTAGTTCTTTACTCTAGCATTTAATTAACACTTTGCATGTGTACTGCTCTTCTTTTTTAGTTGAATGCCTCAATTGTAAGTTGCTTTGGACAAAAGCATCTGTTAAATGACTAAATGTAAATGATCCACACAATCCCAAATCTGGCTGTTGTTTTTTATGTAGTTTGTTTGTTTTTTTGAAGCATTTATTTGAAGCATTCTGTGCTACTTTACTAGACTCTATTAAATATGTAATTTGAAACCAGTAACATATCACAATTTTGAAATAATCTACCCCACACTGTATTATTACAATATAATATAAGACATTGTCTATTCTATTAAATAATTAAGCATGACTGCATAAGGATGAGATGCAATTGAAAATCCAGTTACAGTTAACAGTGATGCTGTTTCCGTTTGCTTCTAATCCAACAGGAGATCTGAACTGCAGTGGACACTGAACTGGACATTCACACAAAAGAAAAAAGAAAGGATAAAAATGATAAGCCTGAAGATAAACAGCAAAGATATTTGCGTTGACATGCGTACATTTTTTTGTACAATTAAACATGCTTGGCTATAGCTGGAAATACACCAATCACAGTAAATAAAACGTTTTTCATTTGTTAAAAACAAGAGCAAAGAAAACATACATCAAACTACACTTCTGTTGTTGTTTTTTGCTTAAACTTTAACTGAGATAAGCCAATTTAAATGAACTTAAGTTTGATCAAAGTTCAAAAGATCAAAGTTTTCCAGCACTCAATTCATTTTCATATCGCACAAATACACTCACTGGCCAGCAGTACACCTATCCAACTGCTTGTTAATGCAAATTTCTAATCAGCCAATCACAGGGCAGCAACTCAATGCATTCAGGCATGCAGACATGTTCAAGACGATTTGCTGCAGTTCAAACTGAGCATCAGAATGGGGAAGAAAGAAGATTTAAGGGACTTTGAACGTGGCATGATTGCTGGTTCCAGACTGGCTGATCTGAGTAGTTCATTAACTGCTGATCTACTGGGATTTTCACACACAAACATCTCTAGGGTTTACAGAGAATGGTCAGAAAAAGAGAAAATATCCAGTGAGCGGCAGTAATCTGGGTGCAAATGCCTTGTTGATGCCAGAGGTCAAAGGAGAATGGAACAGTAATTAAACAACTATCGAAATTAGCAGAAGAGCATCTCTGAACACACAATATGTTGAACCTTGAGGCAGATGGGCAGCAGCAGAAGACCGAACTGGGTGCCACTAATGTCAGCTAAGAACAGGAAACTGAAGCTACAGGCACAACAAAATTGGACAAAAGAAGATTGGAAAAACGTTTCCTGGTCTGATGATTGTCAATTTCTGCTTCAACATTTTGATGGTAGAGTGTGAATTTGGGGTCAACAACATGAAAGCATGGATCCATCCTGCCTTGCATCAACGATTCAGGCTGGTGGTGGTGGTGTAATGGTGTGGGGAACATTTTCCTGGTACACTTTGTGTCCATTAGTAAGTATTGAGCTTTCTGTCAACAGCACAGCCTACCTGAGTATTGTTGCTGACCATGTCCATCCCTTTATGACCAGTGAACTCATCTTCTGATGGCTACTTTCAGTAGGTTAATGCACCATGTCAAAGTGTGAATCATCTCAGACTGGTTTCTTGAACATGAAAATGAGTTCACTGTACTCAAATGGCCTCCACAGTCACCAGATCTCAATCCAATAGAGCACCATGGGATGTGGTGGAACGGGAGATTTGCATCATGGATGTGCAGCCAACAAATCTGCAGCAACTGCGTAAAGCTATCATGTCAACATGGACCAAAATCTAAGAGGAATATTTCCAGTACTTTGTTGAATCTATGCCACGAAGGATTAAGGGAGTTTTGAAGGCAAAAGCTACTAACTCTGTACTAGTAAGGTGTATCTAATGAAGTGGCAAGATAGACTACTCCTAACTTTATTTTTAGTTTCTTTTAGGTGGAGGAGAACAGAAAGACAGACAAACATGTGCACCCATCTTCCAAATGCTTTATTAAAACACTTCTATTCTTAGCTTAGATGCAATAGTAGGATTTCTTTTAAAAACTGTACATGGCTGTAATATACAGATCAAGGCAAACTCTTTGGTACACATATATACAGACACACACGCATACGCATGCACATGCGCGCGCACAAACACATACATACAACACACACTCACACTGAGAACAAATGTTTCTTCTTTTTTTCTCTTTTTTTATCCCCCAAATATCATTTTTGGTGACCCTTAACATTTACTCACTTTATATGGAAGCTTCATGTACTGACCATGAGTGAGAAGACTTTAAAAATTCTAATCTGAGACTGACAAGTTCAAAACCTATTCAACTAATAACCACACGCACGCACACGCACACAAGACACTTGTATAGTTGAGAGAAACACAGAGGTGCGGCGAACAAAAATAATCTTAATTTATACTCTACAGTCATAAAGGTAAACCAACAATTCCCTTTCCAAAAACCCTCATCGCTTTCCATCTCTGAAAACTAGTAACAAAAAATCTCATGTGCATCACGCTGCAGTCTCCGTTCAGAACTGCAAAAAACATTTCACGACTTCTGGAAATCAAAACAAACAGGAATTTCCTAGGTCTACAAGTCATCCTTTACCAAAATAAGAGGAATGGCGGAAGGATCTCGGCAGATTTGACCCTCACAATAAACCTCTCAACTCTGGAAAAAAAAATGTATAATAATAATAACAGTTGAGAACAAAAAGACAGGTTTGCTATTCCTCCCAAGCAAAACGAATGACTCGGATGAACGGAAGAAAAAGTAGTATGCCGATATGCTCTATAAACTGAAAGTGATCTGTTGCAGTCTCTTTAGGTGGCCTGAAGTGTGCAGTGGCGTGGAGAAGCCACTAGAGGGCAAGCCATGGGTGTCGCAGACAGTCAGAAGCCGTGGCTCTTTTCTCAGGCAGGAGCTCCAGCATAGGAAGCAGGAAATCACTGAAGGTTTGGGCTTCCTCCTGAGGCCACTCGTACTTATCCATCAGGACGTCCAGCAAACCCCATGGCTTCAGTTTGGTGATGTGCTTCAGGTCACCTATAGAGAACACATTATCAGAGACCAGGCTACTGGTTCTATTCAGTTCATGCTATTGCCTATATATATATATATATATATTATTTTTATTATTATTATTATTATTTAAGAGATGCTCTGAATAATTTTGGATCAGTATTAGCTGATAATACATTCTATGACAAATAAAGAATGACCAGAGCATCCCTAGTTTTTGGCTACAAGTAATATTACAGTATCATTTGACATCATTAAACAACTAAATTGATTAATCAATGATTTCAAAAGCAAATATTTAATAAACCTGAAACAACAATTACTTTTAAATAAACCAACAAAGATAAATAGATCCCTAAATACTGTAATAAACATACTGCTTATTGTTAGATACTGCTAGTTGATGTGTTTACTTAAGGTAACTAATGAAATCTTTATGGTTTTGTTTAATCTTGTGTTTGGAATGAATGTCAAGCCACAAACAAATATCACACTTTCATTTTAAATGCAATTTTTAAAAATATTTTAGAGCAATTATACATTGATCAGAAAGAAAATGATAGAATTTTGTATATATTACAGATTAGGGCTGCATGATATTGGAAAAATTACATTGCGATATTTACATTTTCTACGATTTATAATGCGACAACTTAAATAATCATTTAAGATTGATTGGGGTGATTTTGTATTAGAGCACATACAATTTATTAAATTACAAACAGATATAAAGTAGAGCAAATATACAACTGAAGTATACGGGTACAGAAATAAAATCAAATGTACACTGAAGCTGTATATTCTTCATTGTGTAAACAATCAAGCACAATTAATCTTTGTTTAAGCTACAAACGTAATAATTCCTTGTGCCAAAATGCTTTAAACTTGCTTAAAATGGTTTACACAGGTCTTAAAAACACAAGCAACTGATAAACTTTCACTTTATTATGGTTAAACTGATATGACTCCAAAATTCTTACGTGTTCTGAACTGCTGTACCTGCGCAAATATAACCCTGACTCCATATTGCACGTTCTGTGATGTGACTAATGCGTATTCCTACACTGCTAGATTGATGCTAAAGTGATATATTGTGCAGCCCTATTATAGATTAAAATTTTCATTTCAAAGAATAATGTGCACTGATGCCAATACATAAAATGCATTAAATAAAAAAATTATGAGTTCATGCTGATTGCAAAATGCTTTAACATACAAAATTACATTTATATTTACATTTATATATAAATACAATCCCATTAAAAAAAAACAGGGACAATAAGATATCTTTATAAAAACAATTAATATTTTTATTAAGCAATCATTTAATTGATCATGTGACTTATAGTTTTCAGTGTCTTTGATCAAATAAATGCAGCCTTAGTGAGAATCTTTTTTTTTTTTTCCCAAATCTTTAACAACTCCAAGTTACTGAACTATGAAGGACCAGGAGTGTCAGTTAGAAATAAAATGTAGAACAGGCCAGACTCACCTTAGATTGATAATTATAATAAAATAAGTGCCCCTCCAATCCTCTAAAAAACAAATCCTCTATTGCAAATTAATCTAAAATTATAAAATAAGTATAATAATATAGAAGGTTTGGGGAGAAAAACGGTTTAGTTTACAGTGGCAAGGTCAACTATCAATCTGAGGTGAGTCTGGCCCATGAAATCAATCGGTTCATTTTTTTTAACGTTTTTGACATACACAGCAGTGCTTTCTATGAGATTTAAAGAGCTTGTATTTTGTAATGATGCATCAAAATCAAAACATAGTATCCTGTTATTTTGTTGCTTTTATTTGTTATTATTTAATATTTCATCACTAGACAGTGTGAAACGGTGATGTATTATAACAAACATGAGTTGGAACTAGGCGTTGTCAGCTATTTGTTCAGATCAATGCACGTTTCATTTACAAGTGAGAGAGGGTTAAGCTCAACTTGAGGCGAAAGTTGATTGGTTGGTCCCACATGTGGACTGTCCAATGACATTTTTAACTCGATTTATTTTCAACTCAAGAAAAGCATGTGGCTAAAGTAATGGAACCAAGTGGCAAATAGAGAGAGAATAGCATTTGTCAAAATGCCTTTTTAAAAAGCCATTTAAAATGTGCATTAAAAATATTATACTTTTTTTTACTGTTTGATTAAACTTTATTTTAAAACATGAATTAATTTTATTTATACATTTAATAATTGCTTTCAAATGTTTTATTGCTTATTAAATTACATTTAAAAACAATTTAAATAAACTTTTATATAGGTCTTTTTATTTGAGCATTATTTGTTTGTTTAAATTGTGATTTGTTTATATAAATTTTATGCTTTAATTATTCAATTGTTAATTTGATTCTTTGTTTTATTATTTAATTTATTAAGTATAGCATACAATAATAAATTATTTATAACATTTCATAACATTTGTATAATACAATATACAATATTTTAGCTTAAAAGGGGTCAGATTTTTCAATGCAAATTAATTAACTTTTTATACAATATAGAAAATAAAAAAAAACAATAAAAAATTAAATGAACAAATAAAAAAAAAACAATAATGATAAAATAATCATGTAAACAA